GGACCATAACCTGGATTTGTAACCTGAATAGACCCCTTTTCCCTTAATGTTCTTTCTGTCAGCACTTTAAAAAAAAAAAATCATAGCAACAGAAAGGAAACTAGAACAAGTGAAGTAGAAAAGTACCAATAAAACTAAAAATAAAAGAGAGAAAACGCCGTAGGAGATACTGTAGCCTCAGCTAGTACGTCATCTTCCAACTTGGATGGACGTGGTTTCTCCTCCCCTCTTGAGTGTTTTTTTTAATGGTAGTCTCTGCTGATGTGCGGAGGGCTGATCATTTCAGTTATTCACACAGTTTAAGTCATTGTGTTCTTCCTGCTGTGTGGGACTCAAGCTCCTTCCAGAATTCCTTAGTCTGAGCCCCACACCCCTCACTGCTAGTTTACTGGCTCATCTCTGGTATTTTGGAGATCGTACTTGCCATGTGGAATTCTGTGTCACTGAGGTTCTGAAGGGTGTGGAAGGCCTGGCTAGTTGGATTTACCTTTGTGACTAGGTGTCCCTTCCTGGCTGCCAGATTAACTCATGCCTGCTGGGGCAACTGTTCAGTATACTTCTCATGTTCTCTGATACTGGCTGAGGCAATGGCAGAGATCATTCCTTCTCAAGCTATTCTCTCCATGGCACAGGTGTCGGATAGCATATTCAGGTTCCTATACCACTTCTGCCTCCTTTTATGGAGCCCTCACGGCTCCGGCCATCTTTTCATCCACAGTATATCCAGTCCTTGGTTGCATCTCTGCAATCTTCCCAGTTTTCCTTCTGCTCACTGTTAATTATCGTGCCCATGTTCAGGAGAAGGAAAGCACTCCTTCAAGCTACCTACCCCTGACTTCAGCGCATATGAGCATCATGGTGTAGCTGGTCACTGTTAATGCCACTCTCAACTGCTTCTCTGTGAATATCTCACATCAGCTGGGGCTTATTTTTTTTTTTTTTCTTCAGCTCTTTTTCTTTTAGCAATATGATGGTGTGAGGTTGCACAGAGTCACCTTCTCCTTCACAGCAGTGGTTAATTTTAATTGTCAGCTCGACACAACCAGGAGCCACCTGGAAAGAGAGTCCCAGTGACAGTGGCCGAGATCAGGCTGGCTCCTGTGGGCTTGCTATGAGGAATCTTTCTTAATTGTGTTATGGAGATGGGAAGACCTGCCCTGAATATGGACAGCACCACTGTGCTCTGAATGGTACAGGAGAGAGAGCTAGCTGAGCACCAGGCAGGCAGGCATCCATTTCTTTGTGTTCTTGACCATGGACCAGCAAGTCTGCCACTGCACTATCCCCACCGTGATGGTCTGGGACCCGGAATTGTGAGCTACACTAAACCTTTCCCCCTCCAGATTGCTTGTTGTCAGGGTATTTTATCATAATAACATAAATTAAAGGAAGACATCCTAGTGGATGTCAAAAGAACTTATCAAGAAGTTCTTTTCATTTTGATTTAGTTAATTTACAAGCACGATGAGTCTATAGTAGGAAATGTTAAACCATTCAAAACCATGAAGACAAAAATGTTACTTATAATGTAATACCCATAGGATGATTCCATTTTACTTTGCCGTGTGTGTGTGTGTGTGTGTGTGTGTGTGTGTGTGTGTGTGTTTTGAGACCGTTACTTGCCTTGTTATTGTGCTAAAATACTGGACAAAAGCAACTTAAGGAGGAACAGGTTTATTTGGGCCCACATTTCCAGGGTA